TTTGATCGCCCTCACTTTATCTTCCAATGGGTGTAACCCCGTCTTGTCTACTCTCTAGCCCAGGTAGGTCATTTGGGGTGCCCGGAACTCATGTTTCCCTTCTAAGGCATATACCCACCTTGGAGAAATGTTGAAGGACCATCTCTAGGTCCTCTAAGTGTCCTTTATTGGTCTTCCCTATTATTAACATGTCATCGAGATAAATGGTGAACTGGGTTAGACTTTGTCAAATGTTCTCCATCGTTCACTGAAAAATGGCACAGGCTGATGATACCCCAAATGGCAAACTCGCATATTGGTACAAACCCTTATGAGTATTAATTGTAGCATACCTCTGGAAATCCTTATCTGACCACAGTTGCAGATAATAATGGCTCATGTCCAGCTTCGTGAATGACAGCAGTGCCTCCGTCCCACTGCACCCCACTCCGCCCCACCCCCCAGCTTTGTGTATAAATCCTAAATACAAGGGACTGCGTATTTATCCAGCTGCAAGAAGCAGTTCACCGTTTGTTGAAAATCCCCACAAGGTTGAACCAAACCATTGGGTTTCACAATTGGTATGACCAGTGCCGCCCATTCCTCAAACTGCACTGATTTGATCATTTGTTCGCTTTCCAACCTCTACTTTTGCATGTAAGGCAATTGGCACTGGGCGGGCCCTGCAGAATCATGAAACTGCTTCCTGGTCAATATGCAAGACAACCTTGTCTCCTTTGATAGTCCGTCAGCCTTCCTGAAAAACATCCGGGTATTTAATTAGGACTTCACTCAGGCAGCCATTTCCTAATTGTAAAATGTTAAACCAACCAAGGTGAATCTTTCTCAATCACTTTTGCCCCACCAGTCTTGGGCCTGACCCTTTTACTACCATCAGTGGTAACTGAACCAACCGCTTACATACCTGCAATTGTGGTTCGCTGAAGATTCCCAGAGGTACGCTACAATTAATCGGGGATATGATGGCCTAATGGTATTATCGCTGGACTGTTAATCCAGAAACCGAGATAACATTCTGGGGACGGATGTTCAAATCCCACTATGGCATGTGGTAGAATTTGAAACAATAAATATCTGGAATTAAGAATCTAATGATGACCATAAATCCATTGCCGATTGTTGGGGAAAAACCCACCTGGTTCACTAATGTCCTTTCGGGGAAGGAAACTGCCATCTTTACCTGGTCTGGCCTACGTGTGACTCCAGACCCACTGCAATGTGGTTGACTCTCAACTGCCCTCTGGGAAGTTAAGGATGGGCAATAAGTGCAGCCTGGCCAGCAATGCCTTCATCTCATGAATGGATAAAGGAAAAAATAGCTTCTTCTCAGAAGAGACCAGAACTGAAGTTGTACCCTTAATCTGTAATGGTTCCCCAGTATAGATTCTCTGTCCAGCTGAGGTTGTACACTAACTTTAGGTTGGAATCAAGAGCCAATTTTGGTAAAAGCTAGTTCTGCAATCACTGACACAGCCACGCCACCATCAAGCTCCATTAGAACCGTGTGATCATTTCACTAGACATTTATTTTGATTCGCTCTGATTTGCATGTTGTTAAGCAATTTATCTGTTCCAAGCCAGACATACATGGCCTTTCCAGGGTGTTCACTCTCCTGGATACTGGCCTATCAGTTCTCTTACTTAATTCAGACCTAGTAGGGGTCTTTTGCTATCTCAAGACCACATAACAGCAGTAACAGTCGATTGCTGGCCAGATCCTGAAGAAAATCTTAACTGTTGGGCTGAGGGGCTTGGCTTTGTTTTGGGGTTTTGCTGGGGGCTGAACTAGAGTCCCTCTGGTCAGGATATGTCCTGAGTGAGGCGATGCATTTGCCTTCACTTAAGTGTTGTCCCCCAAGCTCAGTAGGACTGGTGAGGAAGAACGCAAGAAAGAAAAAAAGACAGAAAGAAAGCAAGAAAGAAAGAAAGAGAGAGTCTGGGGTATGGAGAAAGAGAGACAGGGAATTAAAGAAAGACAAGGAAGAGAGATAGAGAGACAGTGAAAGAGAGATGAGGATTAAGAGAGGGTGACACAGTCTGTGAGAGACTGATGATGTGAGAGATAGAGAAAGGGTGAGAGAGAGAGAGTTTGGGTGAGAGAGAGGCAGAGATGGGGTGAGAGAGATTGGACAAGATGGAGTAACAAGTCGAGAGAGACAGAGAGAGGTGGGAGGAAGGAGACAGAGTGATGGGTCGAGACAGAGTGACAAGGCATAAGTGAGAGAGGAGGGGTTTGGGTCAGGTCAGGATGAGAAAGAGAGAGAGAGACAGAGAGAGATGGGATGCGAGAGGAAGAGACATGATTATTTGAGAGGAAGTATGTCCAAGAAAGAGCTTGATACCATTTTGGACCTTAAAGTCAACAATAGGTATGCAGAGAAAGTGGGAATATGATTTCAGTTAATGGATAATCCATGATTGTATCAAATGGCAGAACATGCTGCAAGGGTTGATGGGCTGATTACTGTTCCAAGTTTCTGTCTTTCTATCTTTAATCCAAAGTGCTTGGTGGTAGAAGAAATCCATATGTGCACCACATTGTAGGTAGAAATATAAAAGACAATCAAACAATACACAAAATAGCAAAGCCTCATGTCCTAATGGTAATCCAGCTGCATCCTATAAATCTCAATGACTTGGTCTCCACAGCCTTCTATGGCAATTAGTTCCACAGATTCACCGCTCTCTGACTGAAGAAATCCCTCCTCATCTCAGTTCTAAAGGGTTGTCCCTTCACTCTGAGGCTGACGCAGATCCTAATTTCCCCTACTGGTGGAAACATCTTCTCCACATCCGCTCTATCCAGGCCTTTCAGTATTCTATACATTTCAATCAGATTCCATCTGATCTTTCTAAACTCCATCACGAACACACCAAGGGTCCTCAATCATTCCTTTAAGTTTAACACTGCTGTTTCTCACCCAAGTTCCTCCGTCTCAAAATGAGTGCTGAATTCTACGTTGTTATGCTCCCTGTTTCTGAAATGTGAAATACATTGTGGCAAATAGTTCAAAATGGGAAACACTGGTCCATTGGGCACACCGCATTTGAGTGTAAATGCCACCAAATGGACTACACCAGCACCAGCACCAGCGTGAGGACAAAAAAGAGAAGGGGGACCCTTTGCCTTCTTTCAAATATATCTCCGAACGTCCTGTCACATGTGCCCAAAGACGTGAGGCTGGTGAACCAGTTTATTCAATCACTATAAATACTGAGGGAAGCATCTGAACAATCACTATTGAGGGTATTGAGGGATGAGGTCAGAGAGGTTTCTCTCGGGTCAATTTTTGAATGAGTAGGCTTGTGTTTTGAGAAATGGAGAGCAGCTTTGTGCTATTATTGAGTATAGGAGATTGAAGTGGTGATATTTCTAAAACATGAAATTTTCCAAGTGGGTTTTTCGTGCAGACTGAACTGTACTGAACCACCATCGCAGGTCATCAGTGATCCTAATAAATGGTGAAGCAGGCTCAAGGGGCCGAATAGTCTAACCCGTTGCTATTTCTTCTGGTTTCATGGACATCCGCTTGCATTGAGAAGATCCAAGAATGAGGAAGACAGAGATTGAGTGTGAGAGAAGAGTAAACATGGGTGCTGCAAGGTGCACAGGTAGAAATGGAGAGAGCAGTGTGCTCTTGGTGGCACTGGCAGATCTAGCAAAATGTGACCTGTTAAAAGTGGCATTGGATGGTGGGAGTAGATGGTTGTGGAAGGTTGGACCAGAAGTCCATAAAATATCGGAGTAGAAATAGGCCATTCTGCCCATTGAGTCTGCTCTGCCATTCAATCTTGGCTGGTATGTTCTGAACCTCATTCTCCTGCCTCCTCCCCATATCCCTTGATCCCTTTACTGATCAAAAACCTATTTATCTCTGTCTTAAATAAACTCAATGACTCGGCCTTCTGTGGCAACGCGTTCCACTATTCACCACTCTCTGGTGGAAGAAATTTCTCATCATCTCAGTTCTAAAGGGCCATCCCTTCATTCTGAGGCTGTGCCCCTGGCTCCTAGTCTCTCCTACCAGTGGAAACATCTTCTCCATGTCCACTCAATCCAGGTGTCTCAATATCTGTAAGTTTCAATCAGATAGTCCCTCATCCTTATAAACTCTGTGGAGTATAGATCCAGAGTCCTCAATGGCTCCTCATATGACAAGCCCTTCATCCCCAGGAATATTCCTGTAAACCTCTTCTGGACCCCCTCCGAAGCCAGCACAT